ATTGATAAATAACTTTATATTTATTGTAGGATGTTTAATAAAGGTAAATATAACAAGACAGAGTTAATTTAAAAGTAAGTAATTACTTTATTGAAAGTAAAATTTAATTATCAGAGAGAGTAATAATTATGATATTAATCAGTTAATATTATACGAGGGGCATAAAAATGAGAGATATTTATGTTCATCGTGTAATTGAACAGCCAGACGATTGAGACATTGCTCTTTTTGTCATATTCAAAAATTTGTTTCAAACGTTACCTGACTATTCCATTTTGTTGAACTATTTTGAGAATATGCATGTGACTTGACCTCACAAGGTTAATGTTCCATTTTGTTGCCTGAAATATGTTAGATTAATTTATGAAAAATATATTTTAGATTAATATTTAAAATTATTTTTTATTACATTTATATACATTTAAAAATAAATTGTGCTTATAATATTTGAATAATATAGTTTATCTTCTATTGTAGTTGATTTTGAGTTTTATTGTATTATATTAATATATTAATTAATAATAATTTATTCAATTAGCATTATTTTAGTCTCAAATATTTTATATATAATAGTGAAGTGATAAATTATCCGATTAAGAGGAGGAAGGCTTAAGAGAACACTCTTGAAAATTGTTGAACGCGATCTCTTAATTAATAATATTCCTAAAAGCTTGATAAATGATAGAGTACAATGACGTCTTGCAATCCACGTAACCGACCCCACCTAGGTGGGATAAAGGCTTGTTGTTGTTGTTGTTGTTGTTGTTGTGAAGTGATAAATTAAATGAAGCCAACAAATATTTTCTCTATTCAAAAATATAAGACATTTTTTGAGAAGTTAAATGTTAAAAAATATAAGATATTTTTAGCCTTTTGAGGTGTAATTATTGTCTTTTTTCAAAAGTGCCCTTGTTAATAATAACTTTATATTTATTGTAGAGTATTTAATAAGGATATATATGAAAATATATGGTTAGTTTGAAAGTAGGTAATAATTTTATTATGGGGTAAAATTTAATTAAAAATATTTTATATTTTTAAATAAAAAGAGTACATAATAAATAATGAAAGATGAGATTTAGTCCGGAAAAAGGAATTGCTGGATTAGAAATGTTTTATACAAGTTTTTGAACTACACGTCTAAGGTAGAGATACAACGACAATTTAATATTTTAAAAAATCACCTTTTTACAAATATATGTCAAATAATCTATTTCGGAAACATGCAGGGGAAAAGTACAAGGTCATTTTAAGACAGAAAATTGATTACCAATATATTTTTTTCATTTAAAAATATAAAATATTATTTAAAAAATTAAATATTAAAAAATATAAGGTAATTTTAATCTTTTAAAATATAATTACTATTTTTTTAAAAGTGTTCTTATTAATTATAACTTTATATTTATTTTAAAATGTTTAGTAGAAGTAAATATAAAAAAATAAAGTTAGTTTAAAAGTAAGTAACTATTTTATTAAGAAGTAAGATTTAATTAAAAATATATTATATTTTTGAATTGACACAGTATACTCTGAGATTGAATTCTTGTTATTAGGTTCATTAGAATTAAAATAAAAAATTTTTAAAAAAATAAGGATTTCCTAATGAAAGAAGTATAATTCAAATAAAAAATATACAATGGCAGCGGCTGATTTGTAAAAAAAAAAAACACTAACAAATGAATGAATTAGGACTTTTATTAGTCCAATTTAATCCGAAACTCCTTCATCTTTTATATTTATCATTTTTTTAAACTGTTACAATATAAATAATTAAAATAAAAATATTTAAAAAGAAAATCAACCCACATTTTTTCTCATAAATATGTACTTCTATTGTGTCAGAGGGCCTCGGCCGGTAGAAGGGATGCAGGAAGTGGGTGAAAAAAGGGTTTATCTATTTTTTTTCTTTCATTTTTTTTATTTTTTCAATCCTCATCATTCAAATTATTTTATTAAATAATTTTTTAAATGATAAAATTAATAAAAAATGAGGATGGAGAAAATGAAAAAAAAAAAAGTAAAGAGACTCCAAATCCTTAAAATGGGTAAGCAACAAACGAAATTGGACAGTTGAATTTCACACAATAATAATAAATAAAAAAAGGAACAGTTGAATTTGAAAAGTGTTGATAGTGATGAGAGAGAATGTTGGCTATTGGGAATGGGAGCCGCCGAGGCAGGAGGCGCGTGTTGTGCGTTGTGTCTTTGGGACCCACTTTTAATCTCCCATCCAAATAATTCATTGCATAAAATATAAAATTATTACGGATAAATATTTTACTCCCTCTATTTTTTAATGAATTAAATATTAAAAACTATAACATATTTTTAATCTTTTAATATATAATTATTTTTTAAATAATTTTATTAATGAATAAATTTATATTTATTATAAAATATTTAATAAAAATAAATATGAAAAGATATTATTAATTTAAAAATAGGTAACTATTTCATTAAGATGAGATTATGTTAAAAATATCTTGTATTTTTTAATTAAGGGAGTAATTAAAAGTCTCAAATTTAAATTCTAGAAATAATAACATTGGTGATAAATCTTTCATGTTTCATATAAAAAGATTTCAACACGATGCAATCTAAATTAATTTATATTTATTTTATTTAAAAATATAAAATATTTTTAATTAAATCTTACCTTTTATTAAAGTAATTATTTATTTTCAAACTAACTATATCTTTTTATATTTAATAAGGTGTCTTATCTTAAAATAAATATAAAATGATTTGTTTAATAAAAACATATTTAAAAGAAAAATAATAATAATTATATTTTAAAAAATAAACATCTAATCTCTCAACAAAATTAAATAATAGAGGGAGTATATTGTTAAAGTTCTCTCAACTTAATACGAGGCAAGCTTAAGATACATTGTGCATTGACAGGTAAAAAAACAATTGTAGTGATACAAATATACAATGATTGAAATAAGTAGTAATAATGGTAAATAATATAATTGCAGTCATACTGCTTCTATTATTTATAGTAAATGAATAGTGTAATTTTCATGACTTTAAAATTTAAAAAATTAATACATATGTGTATGTGATATCAAGATCTGAACATCTATATCCTCATCTTGATCTTTAGAGATTTTTTTTAATGGATTACACTTAAAGAAATACATATTGCACATGATTGTTATATATTGCAATCTTATTATTGACATTAATTTATTGAATAATAATCATCAATCAATACTTAAGTGTACACATGATTTGGTAACCTAGTGAGACTACTATGATTGCATCAAATTAATTTAAAATTAATAAAAAACATTGTATAAGTTTATTATATCAATTTCATATAAAATTTTGTACGAGAAGTTAATATATAATACTCTTTCTATTTAAAAAATGTAAAGCATTTTTAATTGAATTTCACCCTCTAATAAAGTAGTTATCTACCTTTCAACTAACCATATATTTCTACATTTATTCTTATTAAATACCTTATAATAAATATAAAGTCATTATTAATAAGGGCACTTTTAAAAAAGGAAATGATTACATCTCGAAAAACTAAAATGCCTTATATTTTTAACATTAAACACTTTAAAAAATACCTCATATTTTTTAACAGAAAGAGTATAAAATTAATATTCCCTTCATTTAAAAATATAAGGCATTTTTTGAGGAATTGAATATTAAAAAATATGAGGCATTTTTAGTCTTTTAAAGTGTAATCATTACCTTTTTTTAAAAATACCTCTATTAATAATGACTTTATATTTATTATAAGGTGTCTTATAAGAATAAATATGAAAAGATAGGATTAGTTTAAAAATAAGTAATTACTTTATTGAAAGTGAGATTCAATTAAAAATGCTTTATACTTTTTGAACAGAGAAAATATATCATCAATTAATATATTGTATAAAACTTCTGGCAAAAAAAAAATATTGTATAAAACATGATTTTTTCGATACTTATTTCTTTGTTTGTTTGTTTTTGTAATAATTTTAAAGTTTTGAGTTCAGAATTCTTTTTGTTACGATGTACGAGCTACTTACTTTTTTTTTTTTGGCAGTATTTCCCCCCGACAGTATCCATAATCATAATTGATGGTCCAAGAATTTAAAAAATATAATTGTAGAACGAGTGGAGGAAAATTGATCAAGACACTGGTTGTCAAGGCGTACAAATAAAAAAACATGATAACATTTTATTGTAATGAATATATAGATTCCTTATTGGATTTAAAAAATAAATAATGACAACTATATATGATAATGACAACAATTAAGATGATTCCTTCAAATGAAATCTTGTCACTAAGTAACCATCCTTCTCATTTCACATGTTTCCTTCATTTTATTACTCATGACAGTAGGTATATATTTTTGTTCCCATGTAACCAAATCAATTAATAATATCATTTCAGTTTTGAACTATTTACTTCATTATTTCTTCCTTGTTTGTTCTATTATAGCCCTTGTTCCTTTACCTACTTACCTCTATTTCATTTTGCAATGAAGTCAACAATATGGTTATATTATTTGGTAGCATACTGTCTAAACACAGGACAATCAATATATCATTAATATAAAATATAAAATTCATGCCAGATTAAAAACTATAGTATACTAAAAACAAAATTGACGTGAATGATAAAAATTATTATCACTTAAATAAGTTACTCGGAATCGAATCTTAATCTTATATATGTAACTCTGTCGTTTGTTCTCCTTATCTTGGAAGTTTTAATCTTGTGGGACTTTAATCTTTGTGTTTGGCTTAAAAAAAGAGTTCATTTTAATTATAAAAAAAAAAGGAAGAAGAGTTCATTTTTGCAAAAAAAAAAAAAAGAAAGGAATTTCCGGCAATGCACTACTTCTATAGGGGGCAGGAAGTGCTGAAGTGTCACTGGCATGCCTTGAGAACTAAAAATCCCATCCAACGGTGAAAATCCCATCAAAATCTACTCCAACCACCGTACATTCGGTCTTTCACACTCTCCATCCTTGTCTCTGCAACTTTTGTCACTTCCTCCTAAAGTAGAGTATACTACACCTCTTTCAAAATCAGAGCTTGTTGCTACACTTGCAGGAGAAAGAACAGTCTTCAGATTTCAGAATTAGGCTCTGTGAGACTGTGAGAGATTTTCAAAAAAATTCCAACTTCGTTTTCAAAATCATAGCTTGCTGCTTGAGTTAGACTTGGAAGAGGAAATAAAAGAAACCCAAATCATCCAAGCAGCACTGCAAAAATGGGATTTTCTTTTTCACCACTTACTTTTCTTATCTCTCTCCTAGTTTTTGCTCTCCTGAACCCGAAATGGGTTTGTGGGGACGCAGAGGTAGGAGCCCTTATGGATATCAAAGCCGCTCTGGACCCAGAAAGCCATTATCTATCCTCGTGGACTGTTAATGGAAAACCATGTGATGGTTCGTTTGAAGGAGTGGGTTGTAATGAGAAGGGTCAAGTATCTAACATTTCGTTGCAGGGAAAAGGTCTCTCTGGAAAGCTCTCACCTGCCATTGCAGAGCTCAAGCAACTTACAGGACTTTACTTGCATTATAACACCTTGCAGGGAACTATTCCCGGAGAAATTGCCAACTTGACTAACCTCAGTGACTTGTATTTGAATGTGAATAATCTGTCAGGTGAAATCCCTCCTGAGATAGGCAAAATGGAGAACCTGCAGGGTAAGTGGTTCTGCTTCTGCTAAAAAGACCTGAACTTGTTATTTTGAAAGCTTTTTTCTTGGGTGTTTAATTGAGAGCTCTTTCACTTCTGGATTTTTCTAAAAAATTTGAGCTTGGTTTGTTGTGCTTAATCACATCATACGCATGCAGGATCATACAGTTTAGTTTCCTTTAATGACTTTTGTTTCTGAAATTAGAATCTGTGTTTCTTTTCTTCAAATGGTACCTTTCTTTTTCACGAAGCCTCATCCTGTTGGTCCATTTAAGAACTCTGTAGTCTTGAGTTTCTCTAAAAGGTTAGAGTTAGGTTATGTGTATTTATTATGCCATAGAATTTCATTTCCCGTGCATTCTGTATCAAGAAGACTTCAGAAAGCTGCACTGTGAACTTTCATGACTGTTATGAGCCTGCTTTGTCGTTATTTGATCTCACAATGCAAGTTACTATTGAAAATTCAACTATTGTTATTGTAAACTTCTCTCATGAGGAGTCTCTTATGGTGGTTAAAAGTTAAAAACTTGGACCATGCTTGTATGCTGAATTACTTAAATTTTCATTTTCAATTGTTATGCAGTTTTGCAGCTTTGCTATAATCAGTTGACAGGAAGCGTACCTACACAGCTCGGTGCATTGAAGAAGCTTGTAGTTCTTGCTCTGCAGTCAAATCAATTATCAGGTGCCATCCCTGCAAGTTTAGGTGATTTGGGAATGCTAATGAGGCTTGATCTAAGCTCTAATCACCTCTTAGGCTCACTTCCCTCTACACTAGCTGATGCTCCTTCACTGCGAGTTCTAGATGTTCGCAACAACACCCTCTCTGGAAATGTACCTCCTGGTAAAAATGACAACTCTACAAAGAGTTGCGCTTACTGAATCCTTCCATTTGCTCATTGCTTTATTTTGATTTGTCGTAAATGATCATATCTAATTTGTGTTCTTCTCTTTCCTTTGGTTTATCAAAGCTCTGAAGAGGCTAGATGATGGATTTTTGTATGAGCACAATCTGGGATTATGTGGAGTTGGGTTTTCATCCTTGAAAACCTGCAATGCTTCAGATCATAGTAATCCCGAGAGACCAAATAAACCTTATGGAGCAGGTTTTGGTGGTACATCAGCGAAAGTTATACCAGAAACTGCAAATGTGCCACTTCGTTGCAATGGAACTCAGTGCCAGAGTTCATCGAAACCCAAACAATCAGCATCTATCATTGTTGGCATAGTTGTGTTTGCAATTGCAGTGCCAGCAATTGGTGTTCTAACTTTCATGCAATATCGTAGGCGTAAACAAAAGCTCGCAAACTCATTTGATATCTCGGATAATGGTCTGATCATGAACCAAGATAAGGTTATGTACCAGAAAAATGGATCTCCTTTAGTCAGCCTTGAGTACTCTAAGGGCTGGGACCCTTTGGCTGAAAGCCGGAATTTCATGGGGGATAGCCGTGATGTGTTCCATAGTTTCAGGTTCAACTTGGAAGAGGTTGAGACTGCTGCTCAGTATTTCTCAGAGTTAAACTTGTTGGGTAAGAGTATCTTCAGTGCAACATACAAGGGAACTTTAAGAGATGGATCTGTTGTTGCCATTAAAAGAATCAGTAAAACAAGCTGTAAGAGTGACGAGTCTGAATTTTTGAAAGGACTACACATTTTGACCTCGCTGAGGAACGAGAACTTGGTGAGGTTGAGAGGATTTTGTTGCTCAAGGGGGCGAGGCGAGTGCTTTCTAGTCTATGATTTTGTCCATAACGGAAATCTCTCGTGCTACCTCGATGTGAAGGAAGGCGAAGAAGTCCTCGAATGGTCAACTAGAGTTTCTATTGTTAAAGGCATAGCTAAAGGTTAGCCTCCTATCTTGCCTTGATAAGAAGAATTTAGTTTCCACTGTTAAATATCTTAATTTCTTAATTTCAATTACTTGTTTTGGTTTATGTCAGCTGAAACTTGTTTTCTTAAACAGGAATAGCATATTTACATGCATATAAACCAAATAAGCCAGCCCTTGTTCACCAAAACATCTCGGCTGAGAGAGTGCTCATCGATCAGCGATTCAATCCGATGCTTTCAGATTCTGGCCTTCACAATCTTCTTACTGATGACATTGTCTTCTCAGCACTCAAGGCTAGCGCAGCAAAGGGATATCTAGCTCCTGAATACACGACCACTGGCCGGTTCACAGAGAAAAGCGATGTGTATGCTTTTGGAGTGCTTCTTTTCCAGATCCTCTCAGGGAAAAGGAAGATCACTAGCTCGATGCGCCTTGCTGCAGAATCCTCCAGACTCCAAGCACTCATTGACCCAAATCTTCACGGCAGATTCCTTGAATATGAGGCAGCAAAGCTTGCGAAAATGGCCTTGGTTTGCTCCCATGAGTCTCCTTTGGAGAGGCCATTGATGGAAGCTATTGTTCAAGACCTTGGAAGTTTCAACAGTTGTCTCTGATTTGAATTGCTCAATGTAATGTAAGACCATGATTCCTTCAAAATGTTTACTGTTCTTGAGGGTGTGACCTCTTGTAGGGCCTGGCATTGCTCTATGTCCTTAACTTAAGGACTGGATTTTCTGGGAATGGCTTGGACAGGCGCTGTTGTAATTTAGATTAGGGTTCTCATGTGAAATTTCTGTTCATTAGTTAGCTGTTACAATGTTGAATGCATTTGTTCCTTAAAATTATTTCCTTCCTATCAGATACATCCATTTTCCTGCATTTGGATTAGTGTGTGGGATATTTTCAATTTGCACATGCTGTCTTCTCTCTGTTCTCTAAAATTGATATTAAATCATTAAAATAGCTAGTTCCTCACAACGAGATGTTGGGAGACATGTTCACATTTAGGGTGCATTTTGGTACATTACTTTTGGCTTTTGAAAAGCACATATTGATTATTGAAATGTTGAATGTTGTTTGAAAATTTTATACTTAACCAAACTGGCTTCTGAAATGTACATTTAACAATCTATTGAAAGTGGATTTGAGAACTTCTTAGGAGGAAGCTTTATAACATATGTGGCATATGATATGTGGTTCACGTGGCTTTTAAATGCCTATGTGAAAAAAAAAAAATAATTCTAGATGAGTAGGAGACACTCTGCATTACCAATTTTTTAAGGAATTTGATAAGAAATGTTTATAAAAATTACTTTTGCATATAAAATTAATTGGCAAAATTTTTGTGATGAATTTCGAATGTAGTTATAAAGTAATAATAATAATATTTTTTAATATATCTAACTTGATATTTTTATTGTTATTTTAGATATTAAATTTATATTATTTAAAATTTTTATAATATTTTTTAAACTCTCTAGCATTACATTGTATAACAAAAAATCACAAATTATCATAAATCAATGTCTTTTTTAATAATTATATATTTAAAAGTACATTTTACTATCATAATTTAAACAACTTTTAATTTATTAAATTGATTTTTGAAAAAAATATATTCAAACACAAATTTCATTATAATAATTGATTTTTACTAAATTAATTTTTATCAAATGAACTTTTAACAAACTAAAAACTAAATACACACTTAATCTCTAAATATATGTTGAACATGATTACTTTTAATGAGAGGATATCATCAAGTAATAAAAAAAAATTGATACTACTCTAGTCTTATTTATAAGACACTTTCAACATGTTTCTTTATAATTAAGGAAAACTTAAAACCTTATTAACTATAGCTAGAAATTTAATAATTTCTCAACTTTACCTCTATTAAAAATACATACTTTAACAATGTATTTTCTCTCTCTAACATTCAATGAAAGTTGCATGGGAAAATTTGCAATGAAAATTTAATAAGATGACCTATAAATAGGAAAAAAAATATTTTCTCTCTACCTTATAAATAAGACTAGAGGGAGTAAAGAAGTAAAGAAGTAAAATTTTTGTTAATTACATTATGTGCTCCCAAAAAATTACAAAAAAAAAAAAGAGGCTTCCGTCCAACTTATAATTAATTAGACCTGTAAATTGATGTTTTTTATGAATTGATTAACGCTGATAAAGAATTAAGTTTCTTGTGTTGTTTGGAACTTGATCCTTTCCCCTGTGGAACATGCCTTTTTACCATGACATGCAAGACAAACTTACTTTACATGGCTGTTATTTATTTATTAGGGTTAGGAACGTGAAGCTTCTATAAAGCCTATAATGATTAATTACAGCTATTGAAAATGATAACAAGGGTAGGTTAATTAGCAAGAATCGGTTCAATTACCCATCGCAAAAGAACAATTAGGAATTAAACTTCATTATTATGTCTCGTAATTGGCAAACCCACTCTGGCTCCGTTTTCACCGACCATTGTTGCTAACACGTAAGCAGTGACGTGGCTCCTCAATATGACAAGGGTATGAAGATCCCAATCCAATAAAAATGTCAGCTCGCAAATAACCGTTTGTTATTATGATTGTTTGTAGGAGTATTTAATAGCGTTCACGAAAATGAAATCCCGCAATAAAATTCAATTTGTTTACATAGGCACGTTAATTACTTTCTTCTAAATTATTAGAGGAAGTCACATTATTTATGTCATTCATAGAGGTTCAACTTTTAAGGGTTCAAACTTTAAATTAGTGTTTTGAAACCTAGACCAGACATCAAACTAAAAAGAGTAATGAATCACGATTTTTATTATTCAACTGGTTAGTTCAATAATCGAACAAGTGACATAAATATTAAATAAAAAAATATATTTTTATAATAAATAATAAATAAAACATTAATTTGTTGATTGTGTTTGGAATCTCGACTTCGAAGGCTAGATACTTGGACTGTTAGAATTGGAGGCAGAGGCATGTCAGCAGCACAAGCTTGCGATCTTGAAAGAAAAAGCTAAGCTGATGGCATGTTGTAATGTCACGACTCACAAGCTTTTGATTTGATGCCAAAGGCTGAATTGCTAGAGTGGAGGCAAAGGTTGGAGGAGAAGTCAGATATTAAACCTAGGTCATGAAGGAGAGATTAGAGAGCAGAGAAGAGAAGATAAGAGAGAATTAGTAATTAGAGAAGAGAAATCACGAATCTAAGTGACTTGACTTAAATTTCTTTTTATTTTTTTAGCATTTGAATCGAGTTTACCAGCTCCGATTTTTGGGTCAAAGTCGATTCTCAAAAAATAGGCCAAGTCAACTCAGTTTAAATTTTAAATTGGTTCAACTGGTTGGACCAAACTGTTTTGTTCAGCAAGTGGCGGTCGGACCGATCGTTGTCCGATCTGGCCTGGTTTCAACAACACTTCTCAAAATGTAACATCCTGATTTTTTTAGATTAAAAAAATTGTGAAATTTAAGTTTTTATTAAAAAAAATAATAATAGGAATTTATATTATTTGAGATTATTCAGAAATAATAATATGGTTAGGCATTTAATTATGAATTAAAAACTTATGTTTAAAATTACATAAAAAATGTTTAGTTAATATATAAATTTTAAGATTTAAAATATATAAATAATTTTTTTGGTGTGTGTGTGAGTTAAAAAAAAGAGAAAAGAAAGTAAAAAAAAAGGAGGGCGGTTTAGTCCCACATCGATTAGATGCGGGAAGGTGAGGCACCTCCTCACGTATAAAAAGAGGAGACACAGGCATGAGGAGACGCAGGAGGAAGTAAAAGAAAAAGAAACTTTTACAATTTGTAAAATTGCAAATAATGGCTCAAGATGCAATTTGTAAAAATTGCAAGTAATGGCCCGAAAGTTTGAATAATTAAATTTAAACCTATAATATAATTGTGGGACCCACAATCCCATTTTTATATTATTTTTCTCTCATCCTCTCACGTTGCTTGGCGTGTTCTCGCAAGGAGAGATTATTTTCTTTTTCTTCAGGTATGCTCCAACTTTCCTGTTTATATTAGCATTTAAAAAATTATTTAATTACAAAATTAATTTTATAGTTATTTTCTAAATAATATTAACTTTCTAGTGATATGATTATTTTGTAGAATAGAGTAAATATTTTAATTAGAATTTTCTATAGGATAGTTAATCTAATAATATAATTGATTAAAAGTATAGGTTGAAATTCTTAGGGATATAATAAATATTATAGAATATTTTTTTGAAGTTGAAACTCATGTTTAAGAATTTTTGAGTTAAACTCTAGATTTATATGGTTGAATTTATGTTGAATCTGAAATGTAGAGATGAACATCTGATTATTAAATATTTATTTAAGTATGAATAGGTATTTTTGAGGTTATAGAAAGGTGATTGAGGCTTTAGGATAATTCTAAAATTTTTAATTTATTTTTGGATGAATTTTAGAATATAGAAGGATGAAATTGTGATACTAGAAGTGATTTGAGGCTTAAAAATAGTTTATTAGGATACAAGAATTTTATAAAAGAATTTGGGAAGTTAAATGAGGTATAAATCTTAAATTAGTATTAATATGGATTATAGATCTAAAACTTTCTAACTCTTTAAATTAGAGTTATTTATTTTAATATAAAATTAATATATAGTATTATGAAATAACTATTTAGATTGTGTTGACAAAGATAGTGGTGAAAGAGGAGTTGTGAAGGAGAACTTGTTATTTAAGACACAAGGTAACCATTATTAATGTGTTGTGATGAGTGTATTTGTGAATGGTTATGTGTTGTTTTGTTGTTTAAAAAAATTATAAATTATTAAAAATAAATACTATTATATACTTGTTTGAAATTATTACCAAGTGGGTCAAAAAAATTTATTTTTGTTTATCATGATGAGATATTGTTGTTCGGATATATTCCTGTTTGGATATTTGAATGATGCATGACTTGTCAGTGTATTTTAATATATGGTGTTAATGGAAATTTCTGTTCGGTTAATTATTACCACGTGGTAAGCCCTCATTGGACCCAATGAGTGGCGTGTCGCTTGGTCCAACTCACCTTTAGCCGGGTGATTTGGCGTCCGAGCAGGGCGAAAGGAGGATATAAGGTGCAGTCATGCAATTAAATACTTGTTCGGTTTGTTTGAAAATATTGTTCGGTTAAATATTTTGTGTGCCCACTTAGCAATCGCATGATTAATTATATTTGCATGCATCATTACATATTAATTTTTGGTTACTGGGACTTTTAAGTTTTATTTCCCGTGGTTAACATTTTTACAGGAGCGAGTCCGGTCGAAAAAGCACCAGAGGCGTAACTTTGGTGTATGAGACACCATCTTTTACGTTGCTTCTCATTTTGTATTATGCAATGTATCTTGTGTCAACCTAGGACATTTTTTATTTTGACAACATATAAACTTTAATCCTTTTTATTAAAAGCATTTATATGACCAAGAGGATTATGTTTGTCCCTCTTGATTCATAACCTGATTTAAATATCATGCCATGAGGATCCTATCTGTCTCTCATGATTCTAATTGCTTTTTTTGAGATATTTTAAGACCTGTGGTATATTGTCTTGGATGTATCATGGTAGAAATTTTTCTCCCATGATAAGGGTATGATAAGGGTTCAATGAAAAAAAATAATTTATTGAATTAATAAATTGTGAAAAATTGGTTTGTAAATTTGAGAGTGTTACACAAAACCCATAAAACAACATATTTCAAACTGGTCTTATTTCTCAAGCTTAATTTTTATCAGCAAAGCTCAGGGTTGAACTTAAAAACTCACATACGTTTTAAATTTAATTTTTGAACAATTTCAACCTATCAAAAAAGAAAAAGAAAAGA